GTGTAGCTCGGGCTCTGAAAAGCCCAGACTCTAAAGCTACATGTCTAAGATTAAAAATCTCAGCTTTTCAAGTCTCAAGTTGTGTGATTTAGGTCAGGTTAACCTCTCTGTGCTTCGTTTTCTTCAAAAAATTGTGAGAATTAAGTATAGAAAAAATGCTTAGACCAAAACCGGGCATGGAATAACCACTGTATTAAAATGGGTATATACTATCATCATCATTATGGTCTGTAATGGGATGTAGGGGTGGGATACAGTTCACATTCAAGTGTAGGGTAACATGGGTCTGCACAGAGAGGTTAAGGCAAAGAAAAGCAGATGATGCTTACTGCATGTGCCCAGCCTGTAGCCCTCCCTCCTCTGAAAATTCTCCCCAGTTAGTCTGTTGGGCACTTCATATGAATTGTGGGAGAGGGGCCATCTTCTAACAAATGCAAGAAGTAAAGACAGCTGATTTACAGGAAGAGAGGATGATGCTGATCCACAAAACAAAAGAGAGGAAGACAGAAAGGAAGAGAAAACAGGCTTCTTTGGTTTCTACCACTTTCCAGTTGCTAGTTGCACTCCAATCTGAGCACTGACTGCTTTTACTCTGCTCTATAAGAGCGAGTAAATTCTCCGCTTTACATTAAGCTTTGGCCAATAACATTCACAAAAGTCTAACAAAAATACTGGAAAGTTTTCATTAACAACGAAAAAAAAAAACTTAGAAAACTTGTATACATCTGTTACTACACAAAAATTAAAACTAGATGGCAGGTAAAAATAAATATAACTTCAGAGTTCAGTCTTCTCAACCCATCCTAAATCTAACGCATGAATTTACAGAGGTGAGGTTCAGGGTTCCTTGTTTCAAAAGCTCCACAGGTGTTAAAAGCTCTACAGCTGGGGCTCTGAGCCACTAAAACCCTTACACTTATCAAGTATGAACACCCTTTACCTAAACATGGTTCTCTGCATAAACTACTACGGGGCATAACATGTATTAGTATGTGTTTACTGGGAACTTAATAATTATTTTTGAAATAGGAGGGAATATGGCAGGCACTGTGCAAACTCCAACAATCTCTGTTTACAGCAGAACATACATTCTTTTGCTCATGTCCACTAAGCAGGTAACCAGCCAACATCCTTCCCCCATCCCATCCCTTGCGGAACACAATAAATATACAAAACTGAACCTTTTACCGGATTCCTCTTCCTTATTTGAAAAAGAAATCGTAACATCATACGTGTTACACAAACGAGTTGCAGTAAATTTAATTTCAAGTTTACACTCATCTCTACTGTAAAATACATTTAAAAAAAGAAAAATCAGGGTTTCCGTCTGTAAACATCTCATTTAATGTCGCCAGTAATTCAGCGATACACACAAAATAAATCCATCCCATTCGTCACACTTAGTTTTGTTTTAGTTAAGAACTTTGAAGGTTATCAGTCTGGGGGGGAAGTCTTTTCTGTTCTACCCCCGTCACAGCCCTATTCCAAACCTCTGCTATACAAAGGTATCAACAATAAAGTTATTTTGTTTTAAGGCTAAGAAGAAAAAAATATTTCCTCAAGAGTAAAAGGGGTGCACAAACCTCACAACACAGACTTTGCAGATTTCTTGCTACAGTACTAAGAAAACATCGAGGTTTAAGGCCGATTATTGAAGGCAGGATTCCTCAAACACCAGGCTCCTCTCGAAGATGTTAGGAGGCATGGGTGGGAGAAGGGGCCTTTTCTCGTGACAGACCTGACTAAACAGTAGCATCAGCCATAAGAAGAGGGATTCCTAAACGCAACTTTACCTTTCAGAAAACAGTCCTCCACCAACTGAGTAGCATGCAGACTTGCGAATCGCCACAGACACGTACACCCCGGTGAAGGTGGGAGATCAAACGTTGCTTCCCACCTCGGCCCTCACTGCTAACTGGGATGTCGGGTCCCCATGTGACCCTCCCGGAGGGCTCCCCGGCCCCCCGCGCCAGGTGTGCGGACCACCGGCAGCACTCAGGGGCCGG